GCAGCCCCTGGAGCCGCCCGCCACTGCAGCAGCCCCCCCTGGAGCAGCCCGCACCTGCAGCAGCCGCCCCTGGCCCCTGGAGCCGCCGCCACTGCAGCAGCCGCCCCTGGCACCTGGAGCAGCTGCCGTCGCGGCCCGGCCTCGCCCTGCAGCAGCTGCCGCGGAGCTCCCTGCTGCGGCCCGGCCCAGCCCTGCAGTTGTAGCGGCCCCGCTGTCGCCACCGTCTTGCGCCTGCCGCGCCGACCACTGGTGAGCATTGCCCAGCACTGCTACCGCTGCTACTGCTGCTACTGCCTTTTCTACTCCCACTGCCACAGCTCCTGCTGTTACTACTGTTGCTGCCGCTACTGCTACTACTGCTGCTCCTGGCGTGGCCAGATGCAGCTCCAGGGCCGTGCGCGTGAGTCCCTCACGCCCCAGCAGCTTCGTGCGCGTGAGTGGTACGCTAGTTGGGGCTGTCGGGGTGGCCGTAGTGGTGGTCGCTCTGGAGTGGGTCGGTCGGGAGCTTCTGGTAGTGGACAGGTGCAGCTGCCGTGCCCTCCTTCGCCCCAGCTGCTTCGTGCGCGTGCGTGGTACGCTAGTTGGGGCTGTCGGGGTGGCCGTCGTGGTCGTCGCTCTGGAGTGCGTTGTTCGGGAGCATCTGGTAGTGGACAGGTGCAGCAGCAGTGTCCTCTTACGCTCCAGCGGGCCCGTGAGTGGTACGCCAGTTTGGGCTGTCGGGGTGGCCGTAGTGGTAGTCGCTCTGGCGTGCGTTGTTCGGGAGCATCTGGTAGTGGACAGGTGCAGCAGCAGTGTCCTCTTACGCTCCAGCGGGCTCGTGAGTGGTACGCGAGTTTGGGCTCTCGGGGTGGTGGTCGTGGTAGTCACTCTGGAGTGCGTCGTTCGGGAGCTTCTGGGCGCGGACCGGTGCAGCTGCCGTGTAGTGTGAGTGAGGCTGCCGCTCTAGGTGCTAGTGAGACCGCCACTGCAGGTGCTCGCGTGTCTGCCACCTCAGGTGATGGTGAGGCTGCTGCTCTAGGTGCTAGTGCGTCCGTGCCCGCTGGTACTGAGTCGACTGCAGCACTGCACACCTTCACACTGGACTCAGGTGCTTCTCGCTGTTTCTTTCGTGACCGCACTGTCCTTGAGCCACTCGCTCGGCCAGTTGCTGTCTCCCTCGCTGACCCCTCTAGGGGTCCGGTCGTTGCGACCTCCTCCACTGTCCTTCCTTGTCCTGCGGTCCCGTCAGGCACACTGTCAGGTCTCTACCTCCCCTCGTTCTCTACGAACTTGGTGGCGGGTAGTGCGCTCCAGGACAGGGGTGTCCACCAGTTCACCCCTGCTTACGAGCGCGTGACCCACTGCACGTGTGCTCGGACGGGCCGTCACCTGGCTACCTTCACTCGGCAGCCGGGGTCGGACCTGTACACACTGACCACTGAGTCCCCTCAGGTCGCTGCGTCCGCGTCTGCGTCTGCGTCAGGTCAGCTGTCCGCCCCCTGCTCGTGTCGCTCTCTGGCGCATGAGACTGTCCTCTGGCACCACCGCCTTGGTCACCCGTCTGTGCAGCGCCTTCGGGCTATGCACAAACGGGACCTTGTTGCTGGTCTTCCCAGGGTTCTCCCTCCCCTCCCACCCTCGCCTGCTCCTCCCTGTCTTCCCTGTGTCGAGGGGCGGCAGCGCGCCGCTCCTCACTCCTCCTCCTTCCCCCCGACGACTGCTCCTTTGCAGACGCTCCACATGGACGTGTGGGGCCCAGCCCGCGTCCGTGGTCAGGGTCAGGAGAGGTACTTCCTGATTGTTGTTGACGACTTCTCGCGCTACACCACGGTCTTCCCCTTGCGCGCCAAGGGTGACGTCCCTGATGTCTTGATCCCTTGGATCCGCAGATCTCGTCTCCAGCTCAGTGAGCGTTTCCGCTCCGACTTCCCTGTCCTGCGTCTGCACTCTGACAGAGGTGGGGAGTTTTCCTCTGGCCTCTTGGAGGCCTTCTGTCAGCAGGAGGGCATTGAGCAGAATGGGGTTGCTGAGCGCCGCATTGGCTTGGTCATGGAGGTCGCTCGTACCTCCTTGGTTCATGCGGCTGCCCCCCACTTTCTGTGGCCGTTTGCAGTCCGATACGCTGCGCATCAGCTCAACCTCTGGCCCCGTGTCTCCTTACCGGAGACTTCTCCGACACTGCGTTGGACGGGAGAGGCTGGCGATGCGTCGCGTTTTCGGGTCTGGGGATCTCGAGCTTTTGTTCGCGACACGTCCGCGGACAAGCTCTCCCGTCGCGCTGTCCCCTGTGTCTTCCTTGGCTTTGTCCCGGACGCGCCTGGTTGGCAGTTCTACCACGCCACCTCGCGTCGTGTCCTTGCCTCTCAGGACGTCACTTTTGACGAGTCCGTCCCCTACTACCGCCTCTTCCCCTACCGCACTGCCCCGCTCCCCCCCCCGCCTCTCTTCCTCGCTCCAGGTGCTGAGGTACCAGACCCCCTCCCCCCTCAGGGTGCCGCTCCCTCAGGTGTGTCCCAGGTAGACCCGGTTGAGCCTGTCGAGGTAGCTGTTGACTCTCGTCCTGCTGGGGGTACTGAGCCTGCCCGTGAGGAGTCTGGGGGTGCGGAGCCTGGGGGTGCGGAGCCTGGAGGTGCTGAGCCTGGGAGTGCGGAGTCTGGAGGTGCTGCGTCTGGGGGTGCTGCGTCTGGAGGTGCTGAGCCTGGGGGTGCTGAGCCTGACCGTGCTGAGTCTGGGGGTGCGGAGCCTGGGGGTGCGGAGTCTCGAGGTGCTGAGCCTGGGGGTGCTACGTCTGGGGGTGCTGTGTCTGGAGGTGCTGATCCTGAGCGTGCTACACCTGGAGGAGCCCTCTCCTCCCAGCAGCTGCAGGAGAGGTACCTACAGTACTGCCGCCTCCGGAGAGGTGCTACTGGAGCTCGTACCAGTACTTCCCCTCCTACCCAGGAGCTCCCCCCCATTCAGCAGATCCGAGAGTGGTACGCGCGGCGCTGCAGTCTTCGGAGTGGTGCTCCTGGTGCTGCGGACCCCAGCGGTGGCGCTGCTGCTGGTGCTGAGGACCCGGGCGTTGGAGCTACTGCTGGAGCTGAGGACCCGGACGGTGGAGCTGCTGCTGGTGCTGAGGACCCGAGCGGTCGAGCTGCTGCTGGTGCTGAGGACCCGGGCGTTGGAGCTACTGCTGGAGCTGAGGACCCGGACGGTGGAGCTGCTGCTGGTGCTGAGGACCCGAGCGGTCGAGCTGCTGCTGGTGCTGAGGACCTGGACGGTGGAGCTGCTGCTGGTGCTGAGGACCCTGCCGCTGGTGTCGCTGCTGGTTCTGGAGACGCTGCGCGGCCGCGACCGTACTTCGTACCACTTCTTCAGCAGGTTCTTGGTCAGGCTCCTCCTCCTTGTCCTCCTCCCTCCGTAGCGTGTCCTCCGCCTGTCCAGTCGCAGTCCCAGTTCCCGCCTGCCTCGCCTCTCCCTGCTCCCTCTCCTTATACTGGTCCCACAGGAGGTCTTACAGAGCGTCGTGAGCCTGAGTCTCGTCCTGCGTCGCCTGTTCGTACTGCTCGCACTGGTCGTCGTGTCCCACGTGAGCGTCCTCCTCCTGTCCCTGGCACTCACTACATGACTCTGCGTCCCTCCACTGCTCCTCAGCGTGTCCCGCTGCCGTCTCCTCCTGCGTCCTCTCTACCTACTCTTCCTGATCCGGAGTCTGACTCCCGTCGTGCTGCCAGTCCCACTGTCACCCGTCTCCTCGCTACTGTTGTCACTGACCCTACCTTTGAGTCCTCTGCTGCGTCTGCTCTGGTCGCTGAGTTGATCGACTTTGCTGCCCGGTGTCGTCTAGACTACGCCACTAGCCTTGTTGCTGAGTCTGAGTCTGAGTCTGTCTGTCCTCCGTCCGTCGGGGGTGAGTGTGCTCTTGGCACGGACGTCCTTGAGGACAGACAGGAGGAGTTCCAGTGCTTTGCTGCTGCTTTACCCCACCTCGTGTCCATGCTAGTTGCCCCTGAGGGAGACCCGGATGCACCAGACATCCCGACCCCGCGCACTTACGCTGAGGCGATGGCGGGTCCCTACTCCTCTCAGTAGCAGACAGCCATGGACGCAGAGATGGCTTCCTGGAAGTCCACAGGCACCTACGTCGACGAGGTTCCCCCACCTGGGGCGAACATCGTCAGTGGCATGTGGATTTCAGGGTGAAGCGGCCGCCGGGTTCTCCTCCTGTCTTCAAGGCGCGCTACGTGGCTCGAGGCTTCAGTCAGCGAGAGGGAGTTGACTTCTTTCAGACCTTCTCCCCCACCCCGAAGATGACCACTCTTCGGGTGCTGCTGCACATAGCCGCTCAGCGCGACTACGAGCTTCATTCACTTGACTTCAGCACTGCTTTCTTACAGGGCAGCCTGCACGAGGAGATCTGGCTGCGCTGCCCTCCTGGCTTTACTGGGTCGGTTCCTCCTGGTACCCAGTGGAGGCTTCAGCGGCCGGTCTACGGTCTCCGCCAGGCACCGCGTGAGTGGCACGACACACTGAGGACGACACTTGCGGCTCTTGGGTTCGCTCCCTCTACTGCTGACCCGTCACTGTTTCTACGCACAGACACCTCACTGCCGCCGTTCTACATCCTCGTGTACGTCGACGACTTGGTCTTTGCCACTGCTGACACCGCGGCACTCGCCCACGTGAAGTCGGAGCTGCAGAGGAGACACACGTGCACAGACCTGGGTGAGCTGACAAGCTATCTTGGCTTGCGGATCACCCGGGACAGAGCACGGCGCACCATCACCTTGACTCAGTCACACATGGTGCAGCAGATCCTTCAGCGCTTCCGCTTCATGTACTCCTCGCCTCAGTCCACTCCTCTGCCTACCGGTCACTCGCTCTCAGCTCTGCCTTCGGATGAGTCCGTAGAGCCGAGTGGCCCGTATCCAGAGCTTGTGGGCTGCCTCATGTACCTGATGACCTGCACTCGACCTGACCTTGCATACCCTCTTAGCATCCTTGCGCGCTATGTCGCTCCTGGCCGTCACAGGAAGGAGCACATGGATGCCGCTAAGAGGGTGTTGCGCTACTTGTGCAGTACGTCGGGCATGGGGCTAGTGCTTGGAGGGCGAGACCGAGTTGTACTTACTGGACACTCAGACGCTTCTTGGGCAGACGACCAGGCTACTCAGCGGTCGTCTCAGGGTTACACCTTCAGCCTTGGCTCCGGCTCAGTTTCTTGGCGTTCTACACGCTCTTCTTCTGTTCTCAGCTCCAGTTGTGAGGCTGAGATCTACGCCACAGCCATGGCTGCCCAGGATCTACGCTGGCTGACCTACCTGCTGACCGACTTGGGAGAGCGGCCTCGTTCTCCTCCAGTGCTGTACGTCGACAACCAGGCTGCCATTGCCTTGTGTGAGGAGCACAGACTGGAGCACAGAACGAAGCACATCGCCCTGCGATACTTCCTTGCTCGAGAGCTGCAGCAGCGTGGTCAGCTTCGTCTGCGTTACGTGGCCACTGAGGCCAACCTTGCTGATGTGTTCACCAAGGCACTTCAGCCTTGTGACCATCAGCGTTTCTGTACTCTTCTAGGCCTTGTGCCTGCTGGACCTCACTTACTTACTTCTTGACTCTGCTTGTACTGTGATCTTTATATATATGCCTGCATGTTTACACTTGCTAGGTTGTGATCACTGTATCTCTTGTTATATTATCATCCTGCATGTGAACTGGTCTTGTGACCACTTGCTTGTGCTCGGAATTTGTGTGGTATCCTTGAGATCCACCCTGAGCTTGTTTTGCTTTGCTTTGACTGGTCTTGTGACCCCTTGCTCTCCCCCACTTTGCCTATGGGGTTGTGTCAAACATTATATATGTTGTGTTTGTTTAGGCTACAGTGGGTTAGCCTATAGGGGGTACACAATTCTAGGGTTAGGTACTTGTACTGATTTCACTGTTAGTTCAATCATTCCTGTCCGTTCATTCTGACACGTTACCCTCTCTACCTCTTCCCTTCCCCCTCTTTCTCCCCTCCTTCACCACTTCTTCCAGGCTGTCTTACACCACGCCTCTCCTGCACCAGCCTCCTCGACCACCTCCCCATCCTCGGTAGCAGCACCTCCATCAGCAGCCATTGCAGCAGCACCAGCAGCGGCAGGTGCAGCAGCAGCAGCGGCACCAGCAGCGGCAAGTGCAGCGGCAACAACGGCCTCCACAGCAGCACCAGCAGCGGCACCAGCAGCGGCACCAGCAGCGGCACGAGCAGCGGCCCCAGCGGTTATCCGCGCCTTCCACACCTCCCTCTCTGAGGACTCCCATGAGGAGTTCCTTGACCTCCACCTTTCCGACCCCTCCCTCCTCCCCATCACCTTTGACCTGTCTGGAACACCAGTCTTCGCCTTTTCCTCTGCTCCCTCCATCTTCGTCCCAACCACGTACGAGGAGGCCATGGCTTGCCCCGACGCCCCGCTCTGGCTTGCCGCCATCATCAAGGAGCTCGAGGCATTTATCGCCAACTCCTCCTTCGTTGATGTCCCTCGCCCTCCCTCCTCTACGAACGTGGTAAAGGGGAAGTGGGTGTTTCGCGTCAAACAGCTACCAGGAGAACCGCCCGTCTACAAGGCCCGGTATTGCGCCAAGGGCTTCACGCAGCGGTATGGTTTTGACTTCTTCGACACCTTCTCCCCCACCGCCAAACCTGCTACCGTTCGCGCTGTACTCGACCTCGCCGCTCGCCTCAACATGGAGATCCACTCGATGGATGTCTCCAACGCCTTCCTGCAAGGCGTACTACGTGAACTCATTTACATGGAGCGCCCAGACGGCTTCCACCTCCCCTTCCCCGCCGACTCCGTCTGGCAGCTGCGCCGACCCGTGTACGGGCTCCGTCAGGCACCCAGGGAGTGGCATGCCAAGCTTGCTGCCACCCTTGCTGAGCTTGGCTTTCGCACCTCCCGCTCTGACGCCAGCCTCTTCCTCCGCACCTCTCCCTCCCCCTTCTACATCCTCGTCTATGTTGACGACATGATCCTCCTCACCGCCGACCTTGCCGAGCTCGAGACTGTCAAGGCGGAGCTGGGCAGCCGTCTCAAGTGCAAAGACCTGGGAGAGCTGCAGAACTACCTCGGCATGACCATCACTCGCGACCGCTCCGCCCGCACCATCTCACTCTCTCAGGGTCACTACCTCCAGCAGGTCTTGGACCGGTTTGACATGGCGCGCGGCAACCCCCAGCCCACTCCCCTCTCGGTTGGGCACCACCTCTCCCCACCCTCCTCTCCCTCTCCCTCCTCCCATCCTTATCCGGAACTCATCGGCTCTCTCATGTACGCCATGGTTTCCACTCGCCCCGATCTTGCCTACCCCATCAGCGTCCTCGCTCGGTTCGTTGGCGCTGGCAAGCACACGGAAGAGCACTGGCAGGCCGCCAAGCGTGTCCTTCGCTACATTCGTGGCACCAAGGACTATGTCCTCACTCTTGGCGGCCCTTCCCCACCACACCTCAACGGCTACAGCGACTCTTCCTGGGCTGATTCTCGACCGGATCGGCGGTCCTCTCAGGGCTATGGCTTCTCCCTCGGCAGCGGTCTCATCAGCTGGCGGTCCACACGCTCCTCTGCCGTCGCCCTCTCCTCCTGCGAAGCAGAGCTCTATGCTGCGACCATGGCCGCGCAAGAAGCACGCTGGCTCACCTTCCTCCTTGATGAGCTCGGAGCCCCCCAACGCTGTCCCACCATCTGGTGTGACAACGCCAGCACCATCCACCTCACCAAGGACGCTGTGTATCATGGGCGCTCAAAACATATTGAGCTTCGCTACTTCTTCATTCGCGATCTCGTTGAGGCCGGCCACATTCGTCTTGGCAAAATCGACTCGGCAGCCAACCTCGCCGACATCTTCACCAAAGCTCTTCCCCTAGCGTCCCACTCCTTCCTGTTGCGTCTCCTTGGGCTCACCCCGCCACCAGTTTTGGCGGCCTCCTGATTACATTTTTTCTAGCCTTATGCATGTTGGGGGGTTGTGTTGTAAATGTATCTTATATATACAACATACATAGGCTAGAATAGGTGTAGCTCTTTAAGCCATTGGGGGGTTGGGTGTACACTCCAACCACACTTTGTGGTTGGGTCAAGATTTGGTTTGGTCTTGGTCCTTGGTTGGCACTTGCCAACATTTGGTCCTAAGGCCAACCAATCACAAGCTAGCAACATTGTGGGGTTCCCTACTCCACAAGGCAACTCACCCATTGGCCAACTTAGTGGCCAATAGGGTTGCACCTTCTTCCAACCTCTCTTCCTTGCATGCTTGTACTATAGAGCCTCCTTGGCTCATTACTCAACCATTCTCTTGAATTCTATCACGTGGAGGGGAAGACAACAGGGCATGCTATTGGTGGGATGGTGTGTTGATCAGTTAAGACCAGAGGCTCCTTGTGTTGTGTGATGGTGTGTGATGGTGTGTGATGTTATACTTTAATCAAATAGTGTTTGTGCAGGTGGGTTACGTGAAAAACTGCCAACCTGACAAAGATTCGGTTGGTTGAATTCCCACCCCATCCTTTTTTACCCCGTCATTATCTAACATGAGAGGTGCCACAATGGCAGCGTGGCAGCATGGCAAATGCACCTCACATATAGAACACGAACAGGATTCTTTTGCCAGACAAAAGACTTGGCAGCAGAGCAGAACCAAAGGTAGGTTTAGGCACAGCAAAAAAACAGTCTCGTTGGGGGCGGGAGAGAGGGAGGGCGGTGACAAGGAGGTGAGAGAGGGAGGGCGGTGACAAGGAGGTGAAAGAGGGAGGGCGCTGACAAGGAGGTGAGAGAGGAGAGGCCGGAGATGGTGGAGGGGATGGTTCCTGAAATGTTGGTGTCGGAGAATGATCTGACCCAGGGCCATGCGGGGTGTGGGGCGTGACGAGGGGAGGAGACGGGGAAATGGAAGAGAGACTAAAGAACATCTGCGAACGGGGAGGGAGCAAACGGGGAGTGGGAAGAGGGAGTGGTACATAAAGGACCATTCGAGTGGTAAGCAAGATTCGCGAGGGTAGATTGGGTGTGCAATGGAGGGAATGCAAAAAGGCAGTGGTCAGCAGATCACATCTTTGCCACTCGTGCTGATCACATCATTGCCACTCGAGCTGATCACATCATGCACAGCAGCACCCATGCACAGCAGCACCCATGCACAGCAGCACCCATGCACAGCAGCACCCATGCACGGCAGCTCCCATGCACGGCAGCACCCATGCAAAGTTACAGAGTCTGGAGATTATTGAGTGTCCCGATAGTGGAGGGAATGGGACCGGAAATCAGGGTTTGTTCAAATTCCCTGCCATGTGCCATGCGGCAAGCGTGAGATGTAATTAGATGCAATATGTATGCGGCAAGTGATATGTAACATGTGCCATGTGCAATGTGGTGGCATATATTGTGTGGCCCGCGGCTTGAGACATGAGTCATGTGCCATGTGCAATGTGGTGGCATATATTGTGTTTGTCACGCGGCTGGCGGAAGCAGCAAATGTTGATCTAGACAGTGAGGGGCCATGACACAACAAAGCGATTCTACACTTCTCAAAACAAAACAACACAAATATGTCAGCAATATGGCCATCATAGTTTCTAAACCCTAAGGGGTGGAGAGAGATGCTCACAGGTGAACAAGCTGAGAGAGGAGTGAGATGAAAGAGGGAATGGAGCCAAAGAAATAATTCGATGAGACGTCGCTACGGGTAGGGCAGAGGGCAGAGGGCGGAGGGCAGAGGGCGGAGGGCAGAGGGCGGAGGGCAGAGGGCGGAGGGCGGAGGGCAGAGATAAAGAAAAAATGCTTTAAACCGGTATATGTGATTACCTGGGAGCGGAATATGTGATTACCTGGGAGCGGTATATGTGATTACCTGGGAGTGGCGGAGTGCTGAATCTGAAAAACAAGGATGACACAAGCCTTAACTTTCCACCACCATCCACCCGCCTGCTTTGCACTGCACTGAACCGCACTGCACAGCACAACACTGCACCAAACCAAACTGCACTGCGCTGCATGTCCTCTGTTTACGTCACTCCACTATCTCGCTCTCTCCAGCGCATTTTGCAATGTCTCAAAGCACGGCGAGAGGGGTGTTAATGTGGCACAAAGAGTGATTTTTAGGCGAAATCAAAAGTCACCTTTACAACCCGCAACTTTGAGGCGCCTCAAAAGTACAAGCACGGGGAGAGGGGTGGCACCATGGCACGGGGAGGGGGGTGGCACCATGGCACGGGGAGGGGGGTGGCACCATGGCACGGGGAGGGGGGTGGCACCATGGCACGGGGAGGGGGGTGGCACCATGGCACGGGGAGGGGGGTGGCACCATGGCACGGGGAGGGGGGTGGCACCATGGCACGGGGAGGGGGGTGGCACCATGGCACGGGGAGGGGGGTGGCACCATGGCACGGGGAGGGGGGTGGCACCATGGCACGGGGAGGGGGGTGGCACCATGGCACGGGGAGGGGGGTGGCACCATGGCACGGGGAGGGGGGTGGCACCATGGCACGGGGAGGGGGGTGGCACCATGGCACGGGGAGGGGGGTGGCACCATGGCACGGGGAGGGGGGTGGCACCATGGCACGGGGAGGGGGGTGGCGCCATGGCACGCACAAGTTAGTGAGCGCGGTGAGGGTGGCGATGCTGGTGGGGATGGTGCCGTTCAGATCCAAGCCCTGGAGGTTTCTGCCATCATCCGATTTGTGAACCAGAGACCCAATAATGAGAAGAAAGGTGGGCCGGACCCCTCATATATTCATACAACAAGAATGGGGGCAAGGTTGGTGGGAAGGGAAGAGGACTAAAATGGGTTTCCCCTCTTGCTCTTTGCCGCCGATTTGTGAACCAGAGACCGTATAATCGCAACACAGGCCATAACGCTCAGCACACTGCACAATGCATACAGGACACAGCACAATGCATACAGGACACAGCACAGTGCATACAGGACACAGCACAGTGCATACAGGACACAGCACAGTGCATACAGGACAAAGCACAATGCATACAGGACACAGCACACAACGGCACAACGCAGGCACAGCGCACAGTGCGGTGTGCAGTGAGGGTACACAGTGTGTCTCACAGGCCGATGATCATTCCCTGTGCATCGCAGTCGATCTCAGGTAGCGCGCACACCCCGCCAGCCGTCGAGCTGCTGAAGGAAGTGTTCCACGCCCTCGCACACTCCTGCAGCACCGCCGCTGCCACGCATCGCATCGCGGGCAAGAGCTACGCGAAATTGCAGCAGCGCAGCAGACAGCGCAGGCAGCACAGGTGACACGTGCAACGTACAGCCAAGGGATCACGTGAATGGTGGCATCGGGATGGGAATGGTCCCATGAGGCAATGTCACAGCCTGCTGGATGAACCCGCACTGCACTGAATGTTACCGCACAGCACCACCCCGCAATCACCCCCACCTTGAGACGCCTGTATCGAAACCGCGCTACAGGCGTGCGCAAGAAGCGCTATGGCCGCCACCAACACCAGTGCCGCACGCGCGCGCAAAACATGAAAGGCCCCACGCCGCGGACCCACGCCGGTAAAACCCCGCCAATCGCATACGGGCCCCGCCGTTCTCCGCATATCCACATCTTCCCGCGCCGCGGGCGGCCACATTTCAGAAAAAACGGCTCTAGAACAACCTCTCGGGTTGAGCACTGCTCGCCCCGCCATGGCCCGGTCAGTGGGTTATCGTAACCATGACGGGGAAAGCGAGGGCGCTGCGGACAAGCGAAGGAGCTGCGGGCAAGCGAAGGAGCTGCGGGCAAGCGAAGGAGCTGCGGGCAAGCGAACGAGCTGCGGGCAAGCGAAGGAGCTGCGGGCAAGCGAAGGAGCTGCGGGCAAGCGAGGGCCACGGGGGGAGCGACGGCGACGGGGAAAACGAAGGCGTCGCGGGCAAGCGAGAGCGATCAGCGACGGCGCGGGCGTGGGGATGGGCTTAGCGGGGTAGCCAGGAGAGGAAAGATGACGGGTGGGTTACACGTTGACGTCGCAAGAGTACTAGGAGAATCGCGCGGCGCGCGCGAATGCGAGCTGTATGGTAATAATTTGAAAGGGGCAATTTCGACGTTATTTTTGGCTAGTACCCTGATAGACAATGCCGCTGTAACGGGACTATCGAGCGGGAGAGTCTGAGGCTGAAATGCACGATGAGGGCGCGTCAGGTTCGAACGGACGACAGGTTTCCAGTTTCGCTGTTCTCCGCCGGTGTGTTCGCTGATTTGGCGAACTGACTGAAGGCTGTATACGAAGAATCTAGGAAATTAAAACTAGTGCCCTGAAACACACGATGTGCCAAACCCGCGAACATGTCGAGCTTCAAACCCTAAACTCGTGAACATGCCCTTCGCATCGCAACTCTGACCGTAGCCTTCACATAGTAACGTGAAGCACCATTTTTAGGGATGCTCCTCAATGACGTGGCATCACAGAGAAACGCTACGCCGTAGCATTGTGCTCGTAATCTCGACGCTCCTGCTTATAGCGTCGTCCTGCGCGCACACGGCAGGAAACCGAGGCCGAAGCAATCATGGCGGCGGTAGCATCGGCGGAAGCCGACGGGGAATGGCGCAGCTTCTGGCTGCCGGGGAAGCGCCTTTCCGCCGCCCCATGCGGTTCTATCCCACCATGACCGCCCCCACGGGCCAGAACGTGCGACGCGGAGGGTCTTTGCCCAAGAACTATTACGCAAACAGCGCGGCTGGCGCTGCGGGAGATACTAACTTGAAGCCGTTCGCAGGCCCGATAGGGATAAAGCCGTGGTGGGACAGTGAGCAGTGTCGGAGCAGTCCGCAGTACAGCGGGGTGATGCACGCGCCGATCAACGTGTATGTCATCTGGTATGGCAAGTTCACGGCGAGTCAGAAGGAGATGGTGCGCGCCTTCACGCGGTCGCTCAGCCCCAGCTCAAATGCTTCCATCACGGGTACGCCGCACACCACGCCCTACACGTTCTCCCCTCCCTGCCTCCCAGTCTCTCTCATGCCGCCTCCCCGCATCCTCCCTCCCGCCGCATGACCTTAAGGCACTAGCGGCCATGTGGTGAAGGGGGGGCGTTACGTTTTGGAATTCTAGAACGTAACGCCCCCCTCCTCCCCTCACCATAGCTGGGGAGGCTCCAGAACGGTCTCCCTTCTCCCTCCTCCCATCCTCCCTCCCTCCAGCACCAACCTTAAAGCGCCAGGGCCAAGCAGTGAAGAGAAAAGTTCCAGAAATGCCTTTCTTCTCCCTCTCATATTATGAGAATTAAGAAGGTCTTCATCCTCCCTTCTTAACAGCACCGCATAGCCCTGCAGCATCAGTGGCGCCTCGTTCACCCGCGTCTCACTTCACTCCCCCCACCTCAACCCCCACCCATCTTCCCCCAACCCCTCCGTCCCCCGGTCCCCTTGTCTCCCTCGGCTCTTCCGCGCCTTGGCCCCACATGTACCCTATAGTGGAACATCATTCGCGCCCTTACCGACGTCTTTCCGCCCAAACTGCCAAGTTCCCCCCCCCCCCCTTTTCCCCTGTCCCACTTGCCTGCCTCGATTCTTCCGTGCCTCGCCCCACTCTTCTCCCCCCCTCCCCCCACCCCACAACACACACCAGCCCAGCTATGACGGAACATCAACCGTGCCTCTATCAAGGTTCCCCCGACCCATCCACACGCTTCCCCCTCTCTTACCGTTTGCTTGATCCTCCTTTCCCCTTTGCCCGGCCCTTCTTCCCCAATTGCCTGCCTCCCCATCCCCCCCTCAGTACCCCTGTGGCTTCCCCTTTTCTTCGCCCCCTTTGCCTGCCCCACCCCTTCGCCCCCTACCCTCTTCCCCTCTCTCAGTACCCCTGTGGTTGAACATCAACCGGCAGTACTACGACCGGGACGGGCGTTTCATCTCCAGCTCCGTTACATTCGCAGGTGAAATAGACGACACGGGGTATTCGCGCGGCGCCACCCTGAGCGACACGGAGACGGACGTGCTGCTGTCCGCCGCCATCATCGCCCAACACCTGCCCTTCCATCCAAACGGCGTCTACTTCGTTCTCTCAGATGAAACCGTCCAGGAGGTGAGATGACACCCTGAGATGACACGGTGATTGACACTTTGAAGCCTGAGCAGACCTGTTGAGAAGAACCATCGATTATTGAGACGCCCTAAAGGTCATCGATTAACTATGCTGTCTATTCAGATAGGCCATGCGCTTAGAGCCAATTCAAATTCCCCCTCTCCCTCCCCTTCCCCAACCCCAACCGCCACTATCCAGTTTTTCCAGAGATCCGGTTTCTGCCGACGTTATAGCGGCCGTGACTGGCTTCATGTTTTGTGTCGTCTCAATCCCTCCCTCTCCCACTCCCCTACCCCAACTTCAATCCCGACCTTATATATTATCCCAGACCCCATTCCCTCACTCCAACCCCAACCCCTCTGATGGCAGTCGTCGTACGAGGGAGCCGGGTTCTGCATAAACTACTGCGGGTGGCACACATACACTGACGTGGACGGCATGGGCCGCGTCGCCAAAGCCTGGCTCGGCAACGCCATTTCCCAGGTGGGTGACGCCAGTGGCTGTCTGTAGCCTCTGGCAAGGGCCACATGGCAAGGGCCATGTGGCAAGGGTGGCGTGGTGAGCACATGAGTGAGGGAAAATCAGTGAGTGAGTGAGAGGTACAGCAGCTGCGCTGTCGTCTCGGGCAAGGGTCGTGTGGTGAGCAGCTAAGAGGTGCCATGGACTGCTGCTTTCTTGAGCATGGGAAATTGACTGTTGTCCCAAGCTGATTTTTCCAGTTTGGGTTGGCCAGGGTGAGAAGTGATATGCTTTTATTGTCACTTTTTGCTGCTGGTGATGTGAGACACGGCATTGGTCCAATTCATCCTCACGGTCCTTGCCGGTCCAATTCATCCTCACACTCCTTGCCGGTCCAATTCATCCTCACACTCCTTGCCGGTCCAATTCATCCTCACACTCCTTGCCCAGCCGGGATAAGGGCGTAGACGGGCTGCTGTCTGTGCATGCTCATACACACACCTGGTTCCCCACTCCCCCTTTTTCCCCTCCTTCCAAATTATCCCAGCAAATGCACACGCAGTGACTTTTGAGTCGACACAAAATCCACTCCCTCTTTTCCCGTCTTTCCACATTCCTGCCCTGCTAATGCCTCACACAATGCCCTGAGATCTGCGTCACAAGCCTCAATTCAAGCTCGTCCGCCTCGCCCAGTTGGGACAAGAGCATGGATGGGCTGCTGTCCCTGTATGCACACACACACACACACACACACACACACACACACGCGCGCGCGCGCGCGCACACACACACACACACGCACACACGCAGACACACTCGTACACACACACACACGCACACACACACACACACACGCACACACACACACACACACACACACACACACACACACACACACACACACACCTGGTTCCACCCTCTCACCCTCCCACATGCATAGTGCCCTGAGTTTTGAGGCATCTCAAATCCCTCTCACCCTCTCCCCTTGCGCAGTGCCCTGATGGCTGCATCAACGACATCATTTTTAACTCTCCCTCCTCGCCCAACCGGGACAAAGGCATTGACGGGCTCCTCTCCGGTTTTGCACACGAGTTAGCAGAGGCGACTAGTAGTCCATGCCTGCAGACGTGGATGGACGACAATGGGAACGAGAACGCCGATAAATGCGGATCTGGGTGAGTACTGAGTGCTCAGGTTTCTTCTTCTTCATCCCCGATTCTTTCTTTTTTTCTTCCGTTTGTTACGCTGATGTAATTTGCTTCTCTTATACTTCTCCCCTCTCCCAAAATATGCTCACTGCCGAAGTTTTCTGTCAAAACTGTATGCCACCATTGCATATTTGCACCACCAGGTTTGGCCGCGTAAAGCGTGATTCCTCAAGGGCCCCGTACAACCTAGTTGGTGCCGATGGTTACAAAGTTCTTGATTCAGCAGAACTGGGACTTGACAAGAGGTAGATGTGCAACCACTCTGCCTTACCCAGGCTCCACCTCGTCGCCTCCACCGAAAAAACCGCCTCCGTCGCCGCCGTCCTCGAGTGGTTCAAATTTTACTGAAATTTTGCAACTTTTGTGGAAGCTGCTTTTTGGCTCCAGGCAACAAAGATTGCAAGCACAACCGCCGGCGCCACCATCTTGAAAATGTAATCAAATCCCTTGTCTACATATTATGTGTTTTGTTGTACAGTACGGTAGTTGTATTTCAGCGCAACGTCTATTGGAACAACTGTATTGGAGCTACCGTACAATAGTTGACAGTGGCATAATGCAAATAGAATCGCTGTTGCGAATTCATTTAGTCAAGTTCTACCGTATTTCCGAAACTCCCTCACCCTTATGGTTGATTGTACCGTACTCTCCCAAATACCAACTTCGACCTGGGCGGCATCCCGCATATGCGCTAGGACCAGGTGAACCTGACTTCCGTCAACGGCGTTGCTGATGCCGACGGTCAAGAACGCCTTGATAATGATGTGCCCCGGCACGTCACTCCAAGCTTGAGCGATCCGCTTCAACACCATCTCCGCAGGGGGCTTCTTCAGCTTCCCTGCAAGGGCGGAGGAGGCACACAGATTAGAGTCTGTGTCTTTACTGTAAACGTACCGGTAACAAGAATAACAACGTCAGTTAAAAACTAGCCGCACCTGTAGGAGTGAAGGTGTTTACGCCTTCTTCGGCAAACCAGTCGTTGTAGACAGGGCCCAAAATATCAGTGTAAATCACCCTGATTACCCTGGGGGTCGGCCGTTTTTTCAGGATTACCCTGCCAAAATCAGGATGCGCAATAGTTACCCTTCTCTTAAAACAACAAGTTTTTTTTTACCCTGACTGATTTTTAGGTTAGGCTGACGGAATCAGGGTGTGGTGTACACTACCCTTTTACCGGAACTTTTTGAAACGCGAATCAGACCACAGTCCGCGTTCTGACAAAATGTACCACAACCCCACAAACACCGGTTGTCGCTTGTGCCCACGCGCAAAACATTGCCTCGCTGTCGGCAACGCGCCATGTTGCTGAATTTGTTGTTTCCACCTCTGTGCTGCCAAGTCATTGTCGAATCTTGCCACCCGTCGTCACGCCCACCGCCAACACAGCAACATCAGCTATCATGGATAGCTTCAAGCTGTCCTTACCAACAGACTGCAGCAGCAGTCCTGCCGCGTGGAAGAAACGGCCCTTGAGAGGCAGCCAGGGGGTCGTTCTCTACGAGGGGGTCTCTCGCTTGGCCCTCATTCTCAACCATTCCCAACTCTCACCTCAACAATGCCCACTGCAGAGCCCGATCCACCTGATGGCTCGAGGAACGGCCTCTCAGTGCTGGGCGTTTTACCACGGCTTAGCGAAAACTACGCCGTGCCCATCGCTCAGCCGCGGCCTCGTGAGCCGTCACCTGAATGCGTGGTAGGAACGGTTTATCCGTTCGAGCCGCCAGACTCCCCTACGGCATGGGAGCCACATCCTGACATAGAACTGGTTCCTGGAGGAGGCGAGGGCCCGTCAAGGCCGCCTACAGCTTCGCCTTCGACGGTCAGCACCGCGCCCGTCAAGCGGCCGCGTGTGGGAGTTACGTACAAGCAGCAGACGCTTTGGGACGCCCCTCCTCCAAAAACCGCTGCTTCACACAAGCGCCCTGCTCCTTCGGCCGACCCGAAGCCACCCACCGCTCCGCATGTCTAACGGCCGTCCCTCTCTGAAGTGTGCGATATGTGTGAAGCATGGTGATCCACTGGCGCACACCGCGTACGGCGCGAAGGGCGAAGGTGCTCGGGACCTCCAGATCGGCAGCATCCGCGCTCACACCGCCTCCCGTGCACACAAGGACGCGCTGGAGAATCAGGAGAAGGCGGAATCGGAGAAGGCGAAGCAGGCCTCAATCACACGATGGCAGGCTACAGACGCTTCCACACGGCACATCATTCGGCTCCTCCACATCGCGCACTTTGTCTGTAAGGCCGATGCACCCATAGCGATGTTCGTCCCGCTGTATTGGTTTCTCGCGAAGGAGGGGTTACCAGACCTGCCTCCCGCTGGCGGCTACGGAGCGTACTACACAAAGTAAGTGGCTGTTTCAATTGTTGTTTCTGATGTGTTCTATTTTATCCACTGTGATACTTACCCACATATGTTGTCCCGTGGCAGTTACGGCTTCAAGGAGAACCTGCGCGCCCTCTCAACATACCTTCAAGAGACACAGCGCCACCACCTGCTCGAATCCTCGTGGATAGGGATTCAACTCGACGAGAGCACGGACCGTATGAATGGGAAACACCTCATTCTATACGCCACGTTCTTCCAGCGCACCACAGTGGTTACAGAATTCTTGACTCTGATTACTGTTGACCGTTGTGACGGTGCCTCACTCACTTCCGCTGTTGTGCAGTATCTGATAGGTATCGGGCTGGATCTCCAGAAAATTTCCAGCGTCGCATCCGATGGTGCCAGCGTCATGGTCGGCAAGAACCGAGGAGTTGTGACCCGTCTTCGCATGCGCATTCCGCATCTGGCTTCAACACACTGCATCGCGCATAGGTAAGCATCACTGTTGTGTGCCTCTTGCTGCACGCTTACCAAGTGCAGAAACTGACTGAACAATACGCCGTGTTTCCTCTATGTACAGGGAGGCACTCGCTGCCAGTGATGCTGCAGAAGAGGTACCTGACCTGCTAATGATCGACGACGTCGTGCGCGCCTTCGCTGACCACGTCGGCCGCAGCAGCGTAGACTACGCGAAGTTTCAAGAGATGCAGAGGATTTTCTGCCAGACGAATCTCGAGGCGCAGGGGATAAGCGACACACGATGGCTCGCCCGCGGTGAAGCGATACAGCGCCTGCTAGACGTGCTCCCAGCGGCCATTGTGGTGATGAAGGATTACAAGGCGGATCTGTACGAGGTGGTGACCTCGTTCAAGTTCCACTGGCTCATCCGCTTTCTGGCGGATGTGCTTTGGGAGCTGAACAGTCTAAACCTGCGGTTCCAGCAGCGCCAGGTAAGCGTCCTTGTTGCCGGCGTCAATGTTGTCTGTTGCAAGCAGGTGTATTAACTAACGCGTTGCGATCCCCATGTGCAGGTGGACGTCACCCTTGTTGCGCACATCGTGCAGCAGACAAGGATGCGTTTGAAGACGCGGTATTCCCTCCGCGACCCTACACACACTTTCGGCAGCGGCGAGAAAATGCAGCTTCCCGAGTTCATTCAGAGGCACGGGGCAAAGGACAAGCGCGAGATGAAGGCGGAGGGCGTGGACGGGGAAGGGAATCCCGTATCGTTCGAGTTCGCGCTGCACGAGCGCCCGCTGCCTGGACACGAGACGGAAGGCGATGTCACTGCGTGCGTCGAGCTGTCGATCAAGTACGTGCGCGCCATTGACAAGGAGCTGGAGTGGCGGATGCGCGACCTGGAGCTCCTGGAAGGCTCGAAGCTGTTTCGCACTGCCTCGTACGTGTCTGACGACACGAAGCGACTGGAAACCTTCAAGAAGTGGCTCGGGCAACTGCACAAGTTGTACCACCACAAGCTGCCAGGTAAGCCAGATGTGGCGCTTGCTCTCTTTATGATGTATGTTGTGACTTTCATGCGTGTCATGAGGTTAACCATTGCACATCCTGCACACCGCGGCCTGTTGGACTAATGCCCCCCACCCCAACCCGTGTCTGCGAGCATCGGCTTAGCTATCACCCGCACTCCGCCCCACCACAGGGTTCGACTACAAGAGAGCCCAGCAGGAGCTGTGGATGTTTACATCCACAATGTTCGCCCAGCACAACAACGAGGAATTCCACCAGGCGCTGACGAACATGCTGCGGGATGATGCATGGCGTGTCTCCTTCCCCAACATCATGCGGATGTGGCAGTCAGTGGCCGTGCTGCCATTGAGCACGGTCGAATGCGAGCGTGGCTTCTCGAAGCAGAATCTGATCAAGACGTGGGGCCGTGGCAGCCTTGGCGACACAAGCCTGGAGCACCTGATGCGTTGCTCCCTGCTGCGATACGATGTTGACTGGTTTGAGGTGGTCGCTATCTTCCGTGGAGAGAAGCTGCGGCGATCCACCAGGGAGTTCGATGCCTCCAGAGCTTCACAGACTCAGTTTGTAGAAGACGTAGGCAGTGGGGGTGGCACTGAGTAGGTGTGTAGTTCATTTGTGACTTTGTGTGGAGTTAATGGACTCTGGGTGTATTACATCATTTTTGATTACATAAAACATGTAGCAAACAAAACTGTAACCAAAACAGGGTTGGCCCGAATCTACACTGCTCAAAGCCGCCTAGTGCCTGAGTTACCCTGCTGAAATCAGGCTACGGAAATTTTTACCCTAGGGGTCTGTTCTAGGAGGGGCTGGTACCCTGATTTGTAAGAGTAGGCCTAAACCAATTTTGGGCCCTGGTTGTAGAACGTGTCCAATCCCGCTTTGAAGGAGCGGTTGATGCTCATGTCAAGGGGCTAGAGCAGGGGTGTGCACCCCTCCAGGATCACGCGGTGTCACCCCAACTTTGCAAGCATGCTGTCCGTGGGGTGCCCTTTGTAGTAGTCCAAGACCAGGAGGGTCTTGGATCGACGGATGCCACACGGTGCCGTGATGAATGGGAGAAGCACCCTGTTCACCCAGTCGTCGACGAGTTTACCATCCATCCACCCCTCTTCTTGAGCACAGATGAGGACACTTGCCAAAGAACAAGTGCATGGATGGTTAGTCAAACGCAAACAAGATTGCACACCATGTATTGTTACTTACTCCGAGACTTACCTGGCGGCACGCGGATCTTAGGTATCGTCTTGCGTTTGAAGATGATTATTGCCGGGAGCTTGCGTTCGTCCGCTGTGACACCCAGCATCACGTTTACGCATTTTTTATCGTAGCCCGCATTGAGTACGTGCACAGTCTTCTCGCCACGGTGATGTAGAGTCCGGTCGCGAGGCATCTCCAAGAACACAGGGGTCTATTCTGCGTTTATGACGTCCCACGTGTCAACCTCCCACCTGATGATGTTCTTGCATACAAATGACCAGAATGATTTGCATTTTGGCTTGCGCTCTGCCATGTAGAAAAAAAAATAGCTGAGACAATTAATTGAGCACCGGGTTGCGGGCTAGACATGCACGGGGTAAAGGAACGTATGGCGTGGCAACGGTGACATACCTTTCGCGAGCCGCTGCCCGGTCTTCATCTTCACGCAGATGGCTAGGCCCCACTGTGCATGGAAGCTACATGTCCAGCACGCTGAGGCCATCCATGTGACATCCGAGTGGTGGTGCTTCATGGACGTCCTGCTCCACTACTTGAAGAGTTTGATCGGCATACCTTGTAAACTGAAAGCTCCATGTAAGGATATTTGGCCCGGTGCTTACCACCTCTTAGCTGGCGCCTGCACGGTGCTGCACTCTCGATCTTCTTTCCAGTCTTCAGCCATTGGCGGACGCTGATGGGCTGCACCCCAGCAAGATGGGCAACGTGACGAATAGACAGATCCTCCTCCGTCATCCGCACGAACCAATGTCACTTCTCTCCCGTGGTTCGCGCCGTGCGACTGTGCGTACTCTTGCGAGCACGGGGACTCGCAGGGGCAGCGTCATTAGTAGATTCAGGACCCACGTCATCGTGGACCAGGCCTTTGGGAAAGATGGCAATGGTGAACTCGCCGACATCCTCCCCCGCTCATCGGTCTCGTCGCGATTCTCGCAGTCCTCTCCTGGCTCAGGAAAGCCCTCCTGGCATGGTGGTCAACGAAGCCTGGGAGAAACACGGTCAGTGCTGGCAGCGCCGGTGTAGCAGGTGTAACAGGAGGTGCGGAGGTGCATGTGGTGCGGGAGGTGCATGTGGTGCTGGCGGACTCAAGCTACTTATAAGATCGATGGCCAGACGCGATGATGGCGGCGAGGCACGGCGCGAATGCCAAGGGCTTTCATATGCCGACATAAGGGAAAACAATTGCTAACCTAGAGGACTTGGCGTGCATGACGATGTTGTGGCGCCATGAGGTGTTCTTTGTAGTGCGGTAAAACTCTCGATCTCAAGCCAGCAGACACAATTTGTGAGTAGGATGTCTCGAGCTTGGCTGATTGCTGGGCGTGAGAGGGAAGCGTTACTCACCACGTCCAGAGCCTGTTGTTCTCTCGGACGTGGTGCATAGGGGGGACCATGACGTGACCAACTGGGGGCACTGAATAGTCAAAATGATGTGCGGTTCGCCTCAAGTGGTGGCACAACCGCCGTCATCGTTGGTCGTCCATGTCAAACGCAATCTCAGGTTCATAGTGCTCCAAGCGATGGAGTTGGACGAGCAAAACGAAGGTCTCCCTCCCACCCCTACATAGGCCAATGACAAGTCATTTGGCAGCCTTGCGAGCACATCTGGACGAGAGGCGTGTCAAATTATATGTATGCGCTGGCTATGTTCAGATGCATTGTAAGGGGTAAAATCTTTTAGGGGTGAGTATATGTATTCATCCTTGATAGTCTCACATCATTCCGCTTGTGCTATTTTGGTATCAGATGGTAATTCTCAGACCGAATCTGTCATAGACCGTCTCTGTTATAGATTACGGACGAAGTATAAGAAGTTTAGGGGCCGGAAAAAACTTAAAGTTGTTGGGTCTAGTTTTTGGACAGAAAAGTCGACTTCACAAGAAACGTCATCAACAAAAAGACAGCTGTTAGAATCTATTTAAATCCGAGTATGTCACCGAACCTGGCTATTGTTTCCAAATTGAATCGCATCAAAAGATGAAGTATATCATGAAATATTTACTTTAGTGCACTGGGGGTTATGCTGCCACATAATCACTCGGTGTAAAAACTATCAAATATGGGGCAGCCTTTTGCAACCCAGCTTATCATGCCACGTAGTACCGCAGCTCCCGAGCCTCAGCTTGCCACTGTGTCGTCAATCGAGTAGACGCACTAGGTTAGGAGAAATATGTATACTGTACCATTGTTGTCTTTACGGTTCCCAATATTTTTTCGTGCTGTTTCCCCCAAGCAGCTTTTGTCGGAGTAGAATAGTGCCACGAACTCCCTTCTTTGGTTTCTTATGTACAGCTATCGAATGCGCACAAATCAAGCTGCCTTTAACTAGCACAGGCTTGGCTCGTATTCACCCCCGATCGGCCGAATCAGGTCGAGTGCAAGAGTCGAAACCAGTACCCAGTGGGAATGTTGAGGTTCGGGCGACAAAGAGTCGCGGGTCCTTTCTACCTGTGCTTAGCCTACACCCCCATCGTTCTCCAACCCTCGCTTAGCCATCGGGCAGTTTCTTCACGCGTGTCCCGGCGGCCTGCACCACACTCTTCGGAAGAAGGCGGGGTGGTGCCTTGACCAGCGTTTATTCGTGGGATGATGCAGCTGGCCCCATAATCGGCTTCCAAAAATGGGGAAACCAATTTTGAAACTGTCGAACAACTGGTAACAACTCCAGGCACTCAGCACAGAACGGGTATTGTTTTTCTGTGTTCGTCCCAAATTGCCCCCGCCGTCTGCACCTCATTTTCACTAAGTGTTATTTAGGCACGACACTGTTTGTTGCAGCTGTCAGAAATAGTCGACTTACCTAGGCTTAGGAGAAATCCTAGCCTAGGTTCTTGTCGAGAGGAAAGGAAGGGGGTGGTGGCCAAAAGAGGGTGATGGTTCACTATAGAGCAAGCAGTACAAATAGGCAAGAAGAAACAAGAAAGGTGCACCACCAAGTAGGAAAACGCTATAACTGAAGTGACCAATCCTACAGACTGTTACATATGGAAAATATAAATTTATATTTTCCGACATGCCCCCTTAACTGGCTGTAGGAGAGGAGTATGTAGTTAGCGCCCCCAGAAGGGCTACACCATGATTGCGCAGCGGAAATCACATCAACAAGCAAGTGCAGTGGCAATCGGTGCAGTGATGGCAGATCCAGTTGTACCAAACCCTCGGCCAAGGCAGAAACAGTAGCAGGTGTAGGGGCGGCAGGTCGCCTGAGGAGCAGGCTCTGTGGCTGCAACATGCAACAGTACAGCAGCGGCTCGACGGCAGCACCTGCAGGCCCCAGCAGCAGGTAACAGAAGCAAAGGCAGCAAAGGCAGGTGGCGGCAGGGGCGGCAGCTGGAGGTTCCAAGGCAGCAGCGGGCGACAGCAGCAGATGACCGGCTGACTTCCGCCGCCCCCTCACACTCCCCCCCACAGCGGCACGTGCGGCAGTGAGAGAGAGAGGAGGGGCAGCAACTTGTTGCTCACCCTTCCACCCCAAACCCTCTCCCCCCCCCCCCCCACTGCTGCACGCGCAGCAGGGAGAGAGAAGGGACGGCGTGTGGTAGCATAGTGCTGTGGCACAGCAGCGAATAGAGTGGCGTCAGCCACCCTCGCTCCTCCCCTCCCCCCACCCCCCCACCTCCTCCCACAGCAGAAACCGCGGCGGCGGGATACAGGGCGCCGCGGCGGCGGGGTAGAGGGCGCCGCGGCGACGGGAAGTGGAACGCCGCGGCAACAGGACGCGGGGCGCCACGGCGACGGGACGCGGGGCGCCGCGGCAACGGGACGCAGTGCGCTGCCGGCGACTGGACGTAGGGCGCCGCGGCGAGGGAGGCAGGGCGCCACGGCGACTGCAGCGGCAGGGCGACGGGGCGAGCGACGAGTGTAGTCGCTGCCACACCGTGAGCTG